CCCCCCGGCAATCGGGGGACCCCCTGCGTCCCCCCCCGCCGGGCTCCGGCTGGCCCCGGGCTCCGGCGCTTAACACGAACCAGATGCGGCGCCGCTCCGGCTTGCTGGGGCCGGGAGTGATTGGCCGCTGGCCGGGCTCGGGGCGCCCAATGGCGGCGCCGGGGCAGAGCCGAGACCCCGCCCCGGCCCAGGACAGCGCCGGGAGCTCAGGTCGGACGTGGTGGGCTGCAGATTCCTGCCGCCGCCGCCGCCGCCCGGGAGGGGAGCGAGCCCCGGGCCACCGCCGCCCCCAGCATGGGGCTCCCCGCGCTGCTGCTCCTTCGCTGCCTGCTGCTGGGCTCGGCGGCGGCGCTGCCCCGGCGGGAGCTGCTCCCCTACGGGGCGCCCCGGGGCGATCGGCTGCTGCAGGACGGCGACGACGAGACCTCGGCCGTGGTGCCGCTCGGGAAGCCGCTGCTCTTCTACGAGACGCGCTTCAGCCACCTCTATGTGAGTGCTGAGCGCCGGGCCCGGGGCTCGAACCCGCGGCTCCCGGGCACCCCCCGCCCTGCCCAGGTTACAGTCACCCGGGGGCTGGAGGCTAGAACGAGAGCTGAAGGGCTAGTAACAGCCTGCAGCAGGGTTATTGGTCCGGGACTGGGCAGACTTTTTAGTCCGAGGGCCACATCTGGGTATGGAAATGGCATGGCGGGCTACTCCCCCCACCGCCACAGGTGCCGCCTCTGTAGCTCCCATTGGCCATGGTTTCCGGCCAATGGGAGCTGCAGAGCCGGCACTTGGGGCGGGGGGCAGCGTGGGGAGCCTAGGTGTAGGAGCCGGAGGGGGGGACATGCCACTGCTTCCCGAGAGCTGCGCGGAACCACAGCACATGCGGATCAGGGCAAGCCCCCCGACCCCGCTCCCCGGCAGGACCTTGAGGGCCAGATTCAAAGGTCTGATGGGCTGGACGCAGGCCCGTGGGCCGTAGTTTGCCCAGCCCTGTCCTGGGAAGATGCAAAGAACTTGGTGCATCCGTAGATTGTCCTACATGCTCCCCTTTCACCCAGCTATCCCTACCCCTACCGCTCTGTCTAGCTAACGGTGCTGGAAAACATTGTGCCCAGCTGTTTCCTCTGGTGTGGGGGTTGCCTGGAGTGAGCGTGCAGCTGGGGATGGAGCTCACATGGGTAGAGAAGAAAGGGAGGAAGTTGAGGGCTTTGTCCCCCCTGCAATGCTGGGTAAGTGAGGTCCCTTGTGATGGGGTCCCTGCTGGACTGAAAGCCCCTGGATGAGGTGGGTGGAAGGACTTGGCTCGGAGGGAGGAACTGGTGATGCAGAGGGGGGCAGGGGTGTTGCAGTGAATGGGATCTTTCTGCACTGCAGCTGTTGCTGCCTGTTGACAGGAGTCCTGTGAGGGTGGACCGAATGGTGGAGGGTGCTGTGAGTAGAATTCTTTGCTGTCTCTTGTAGGTAGGGACCAATGGGATCATCTCCACCCAGGATTTCCCCAGAGAGACCCAGTACGTGGACGACGACTTCCCCACCGACTTCCCAGCCATCGCCCCCTTCTTGTCCGATATTGACACCAGTGGCGGGAGGGGGAAGATCTATTACCGGGAGGATCAGTCCACCGAGGTACTGGGCCAGGCCGCTCGCCTTATCCGTGCTGGATTTCCTAGTGCAGCCGCCACTGCCTTCACGCCCATCCATGCCTTCATCGCCACCTGGGAGAACGTGGGTGCCTATGAGGAAGTCTCTCGAAACTCGGAGCCCTCTAAGAAGGTAAGACCAATGTTAATGTTAGCTGCTGTGATCCCATTGGGATCTGAAGAAACAGTGTAATTCCAGAGAGAGATGTGGCTGGGAGAAGGTTTCTAACCAGAAATGCATCAGGCAAATATTACCCAGGTCGATGGCCCCTGTTTCTTTTTTTTTTGAGCATCTGTACCAATTTTCCAGACTAAGGTTATGTCTACACTGCACAGTTATCCCAGGTGATTGGCACCAGGGTCTGGGCACCCTAGTTAGCCTCACTCAGGTGTGAGCATGCCCACTGCAAATGTAAGACTGACAGACCCTGGTTATTGGTGGGCGGGATCGAACCTGGGAAGCTTAGTGCATGAGCCTGTACTGCGTGAGCTAAAAGCCACATGGCTCTTAGCTAAGTCTGTAGAGAAGGCTCATTAATCTCTCTCTCTAACTGGTCTCGGTGCCAGTAGATGGGACAGAACACCACACCCAGGAGATGTGTGGGTTACACAAAGTCCTACCTGCATTACTGTGTCCCTAGTGTTTCTACCCTCACCCATGTGTGTCTGGGTGCAGATCCCAGGGTTCTCTGTGCTGAGACACTCTAGGATTCTTTCCCTGTAAGTTAGGTCAATTACTGAAAAACTTGTCTGTCCTCTGGGGGAGTTGTGGGAAGAGCTTTGGAGGACTATCGGCACTCGAGTGATTTAACCCTCATCAGCTTTCAACCTGAGTTAAAGTGGAGTTCAGGCTCTAACCCACACCCGCAGCCTGGGCTTAAAGTGCCTCTGAGTTAACTGTGCAGTGTAGACATATACCCTAAGACCTGGACTTTCACTCGTGTGCTCTCTAACCCCTCATGGAGCATGAGCTGAACCAGAGCTCAGACTTAGGGTCACAGCCCAAACTCCACCGTCTAGAGTGTCTACAATTGAACAGCTGATGGCAACACAGCTTGGATCTCGCATGGTGAGGCTAGAATACCATTCACAAAACGCTTAAGGACCGACTGTGAGACCCTTACTCCAAGGAGTCCTCTTGAAGTCAGCTGGGCTACTGTTGTCACTCGCTGCTCACAAGGGATTCACAATCTCTCTTGCAAACACCAGTGGTGAAAATCAACGGTCATGAGCTATCATAATTTGACTATTAACAGCATCCACTCAACATATACAAAGACTTGGTCTCTGCTGCAAAGACCTTGATAGGGCCCTTTGTTTTCAGTTTTTATTATAGTTAATTTTTCTGGGAATTTATCGGTGTTTATTACTACAACCAAAACGGGTGAAAAGCGGTGGAAAAAACGATTAATAATTTTTCTGGGTAAATATCAGGGTTTATTTTGGTGGATGGACAGACAGGGGGAAAAAGTATTCAGTAGCTTTAAAAAAAATAAATTTTAATAAATTAAATACATTTCCATTTAAAGCTTTGATGAATGGAATTCAGTGTGGTTTGCTGCAGAACTAAAACAGAACAGAAAACAAATGTCACCTCTGAGTTTAAGAAAACAATACATCTCTCATCCCCAAATAAATCTTTTCATTCGAATAAACAGTTTACGGTTGTAGACTTAGAACTATTAGCCTATAAATATTTACATTTAATATTGGGCCACACCATTTGCAGCGCATACACTTGCTTTCATCCTTTTCGCCTTTTTTTGTTTTTAAATCTTGAATACTTCCTTGTGTTCTGAAACGTATTCTGAGACGGATTTTCGTTTTCTTCCCATGTTAGTGTGTCAGATCTTTAAACCGTTATCTGCTTACGGCTTGAAATGTGTACATGGTGGGCGTAATATTCATCAGTACATTCAGATGCGCACGCGCTTCAGAGCTTGTGTGTGTGCCTGTTTGTTTATTGTGTGTATCTTCTAGACTAATACAAAGCCTTACTTCAACAGACAGTTTTGCATATACACACAGACTAAAGTATTATCGTACTACAATCCATTGCATGACATAGATGTATTTTCTTAATAAAACGATTTACTTTTTTATATATTTAATGGTACAAAAGTAGGGTGAAAATCAGAAAAAAACGAATAATACTTTTTGTAAAACCCGGGATTTTTTCAGTAAAAATCGGTTTAAACTGAAAACAAAGGGGCTTAAGTATAGACAAAGAGAAAACCAACCAGGTGCTTTGAATGCTCCGGGTGATGGTATTAGTTAGAGGTGGTGCAGAAATCTCCCATTGGCCTTTGCTGAAAGGTTCAGCTGCAAATGTAGCTTCAGTGCAGTTGCTCTGGGTTTACATTGGTGTAACTGAGATCAGAATCTGGCTCAGAGGGACTGATACTTGTGAAAACAACAAGGAGTCTGGTGGCACCTTAAAGACTAACAGATTTATTTGGGCATAAGCTTTCGTGAGTAAAAACCTCACTTCTTCGGATGCATAGAGTGAAAGTTACAGATGCAGGCATTATATACACATATATATATAATGCCTGCATCTGTAACTTTCACTCTATGCATCCGAAGAAGTGAGGTTTTTACTCACGAAAGCTTATGCCCAAATAAATCTGTTAGTCTTTAAGGTGCCACCAGACTCCTTGTTGTTTTTGTAGATACAGACTAACACGGCTACCCCCTGATACTTGATACTTGTGAGTATCTCAAGTAGGTGTTTGGCCCAGGGTTTGTGATTTTATTTTTTTTAACCACTCCGAACATTTTGTTAATGATTTGGGATCCTAGTCTCCTTTTCTGGGGTTTGTTTTCCAAGTTACTCATTAACAAATGTCTCTGGGGCATTGCTTTCAGAATTTCCACCGTGGGTTGATATTGTGTATGGAAAAGTAGGCACCAATTAGATCTGGTCTCAAGAACTTCCTGCCGTGATGCATGCTTTTCAGTGACACGAACTGATAACACTCATGAATAGACTGAAACGCTTTTAGATTCACAGCCCTTGGATTCCCAAGTCATTTCATGGCTCTGGCCCATGAAGGCGGAAATTGCTGTCATGATGAACGCTGTTTCACTGGTCTGATTCCTTACTGAGGGGTTAGGGAGCTCCTAGTGTTGTCAGTGCCCCCCTGCTTGACTTTTACAGCGTTATTTGCACATCTCTCATGTGCCCTGAAAGCCTGGCTGTAGTCTTTTTTTTAATCTGTAATTCGTTTGGGTTGCAGAGAAAAACTTCTTGAAAAATACCTTGATTTTCTGTTCTGAGCTGCCTGCGTGCAGCTTGCTGATGACATGCTAACATCATGTTGCAACATGATAGGAACATAGGAGTTGCCATCCCAGGTCAGCCTAGTGGTCCATCATCTAATCCAGCATCCCTGTCTCTGACAGTGACTAGTACCAGACGCTTCAGAGATGGGCAATTATTGAATAAATTGCAGTAGGGAGTTTTCTTCCCGGCCCTATCAGTTAGGAGCTGGTTTGTGCCCTGAAGCATGAATTTTTCTATGATTATTTATAATATTTATAGATACATATGATATTTATATCATGGCTACATCTACACTGCATATATCCCCCCTCAACTTTAAAAAAAAATTATATTACAGTAGAATCTCAGAGTTACGAACACCTCAGGAATGGATGTTGTCCGTAACTCTGAAATGTCCTTAATTCCGAACAAGACATGCACTTAATCCACTGGGAGGGGGGGAGGGGGAAGGAGGGTTGGGGCTGCAGCCAAGGGTGTGTGTGTGTGTTAGGGCTGGGGGTGGGGTCAGGGCTTCTGACCCTTGGGAGCACCAGAGCTCTGGAGTTTAGATCTGGGAGGAGCGCTGGGGCTCGGGGCTTCAGCCCTGCAGCTCCATTCCTGGCTTCTGCCCTGGGGGGGGCGGGGCACTGGGGTTCAGGACTCCCCACAGCTCTGCTCCTGGTTTGAGCGGGGGGAGGGGTGCCTGGGCATTGGCTACAGGGGGAACACCGGGGGCTGAAACCAGTGCTCCCCTCGTAGCTAAAGCCCCGAGCCCCAGTGCTCCCCGCGGGGCTGAAGCCGGGAACGGAGCCGTGGGGCTGAAGCCCCGAGCCCCAGTACTCCCTCAGGTCTAAAATCCTGAGCCCAGTGCTCCCGAGGGTCAGAAGCTCTGACCCCGTCTGGAGCAAGCTAAAGCCCAGAGGCAATAAAGTATTTGCTTTTTATCTCTGTCTGTCTGTCTCTGCGGCTGCCTGATTACTTCCAGTTCCAGAGGGTGTCTGGTTGACCAATAAGTCCGGAACTCTGGTGTTCGTATCTTTGAGGTTCTACTGTAATGTAACGCTGAACGTTCTCGCTATCCAGTTGTCTATACAAGTGCCCTATCCTTTTTTGAATCCTGCTAAACCCGGGGTCTCGCTGGTACCTTGTGGCAATGAGTTCCGCAGGCTAACCAACCACTCGTTGTATATGAAAAATATTTCCTTTAATCAAGTTATAAATTTGCTGCCTTTCAATTTCATTGGCCATCCTCTTGTTTTTGGATGATGAGAAGGCAAATAGAAGAGCCTGGTCTTGAGGTGGAGGTAATGTGGCCCAGCATTGCCGTGTGGTGAGATAATGTCACTATTCTGCACTTACTTGTATTGTCGTATTAAGAGGTTGCAACAGTCAAGGGTGTCTTCAGAAAACAAGGTCTCCTTTGACCTTTACTCTCCTCAGCCATACAGCATATAGACTAGTGCTGCTTCCCCATGAATGCCTTTCTGCACCTCCTCCTTCAGCTCCAGCATCAGATGTTGAACAGCCTGTTTTAGGATTGAGAGCTCTCCAAAGCACTGGCCCCCTGGCCTCTTTGCTCCAAGACCCCAAGAACCTTACAAATAGACTCTCTTTCTCTCTTCCCATGGGCTCTTATTAGGTTGTTTATCAGCTGTATCTGCTGCCTCTCCATGCTGGTGATGAACAGAGGCACAGTCTGGCTGAATTTCCTTTGCTTTTCAAGCTGTTGAAGTGCCTCTTTCCCATTGGCAATGCATCTCTGATTCATCCACCGGCTTCCTCTATGGACCCAGTGGGTCTCCTGCAGGTTGACTGATGGACTGGAAGAAAAATCCCATGCTGTGCTAAGCGGGGATCAGGAGTGCAGT